TTTGCAAAAGGTTTCACAAGACGACATTTCCGCTAGAACAAATTGCAAATTAATTCGTGCTTAGCAAAAATTTCTAAAAAGGTTATAACCTTATAAAGCTCATTTCAAGAAACACTTGATTCGGGCATTCTTGAACAATAAAGATTTTTACTGCGTGTTCAGCCAGTGGACAGGAACCTTTTAAAAAGGAGGAAAAAAGAGCCATATGTACCATGCACGTGAGAGCTAGTATACAGTACGGCTTTTAACAGAAATGATGTACTCATATTATCCAAACTCTGCTTTCGTATGCAAAGTTGTGGAAGGAGTTATAGAAACCTACAAAAACATATGCGAATTCTATTTTCGTCCTAAAAACTACTTCATTCCCTTCGCAAAGCTATCCATGACAGCGTGAATCACTATCTTTTATTATCTATTTGACATCATCTACGTTATTCATCACAATAATAGCTATTTCGTAGTGAATCACAGCACTAGTCACTTCCTCTGTAATGTACACAGTCAACCTATTGCAAAATATGTTGTGCTAAATGTATCCCTAGGGATACTTTGAAATCATATTATAAAATAGTATGGCATTCAAAAACTCTTCTCTAAGAGGCTCAGCAAAGTATCCAAATTCTCTTATAGATCTCCTTTTTTGACATTTTGACTTTCTAAATGAAAGCCTTAAGCAAATGAACATAGCATTTATGCTTACTGTGTTCATTTGCTAAGAGCTATCACATTTCATTTGAACTCTTGCCAATTCCTTTCCTTTCGCTTTACATGTTGAGATTTCTATCCAATTTCTATGCGTTCTGACAATTTCTCTTTAAAAAATGGTTATGTGAGAGGTTATTATTGATATCAGGTCATTATGATGTGATCAAGCTCTATTTTAAATCGAAGATTCTTTACTGAAATATAACCAATCTCCAACTATAAAGAGCGGAAAACTTCTTCTTCTAAAAAAACCTGCAGACTCGAACACTTGTGCTGCCGACAATGGCGGATGTGACCACATATGTGAAGAGAAGCATGGAAAGTTCTATCGATGTAAATGTAAGCATGGATATCGTCTGGGAGACGATAAGAAGAAGTGTCACCGTAAGTGGTCTTACCATTACTTTTTGAGTAATACCTCTTCCTCAACTTGCACATTATGTTATCAACGATGATTCACTCAAAAATCAGACTTAAATCTAGTCTTTGACGTCTAATTCGAATAGAACTGTAGCATACAACAAGCATTTGCCTACCTCTCAGTCAGTCATTTTTACTAAACATCCAGACGGCGGTAGTACAGCCGTTAACTCTATTATGTGCCTCTCGAGCATATGTCGTGTTCTCAGTTGTAATTAACAGTGCTTATGAATGCAAATCACCGTTGACGTTGAACAATGCCTTGTGCCTCTCTCCGCAGCAACGAAACAAACCTTTACTGGGGAGACCCGAATAAACAGGTGCTTGGGCTACGAGGTAGTGTTACCAAAGGGTAAGGTGTAGAAATCAGCTTTAAGAAAACCGAAAAGAATTTCATGGGATTATTCCCAAATGTTTTGGCAATGATAAGTTTTGGAAATTGGAGAAAAATGGCTCATTGCGTGCTATATGTTTTTAAATGGCATAAAATATGCGCTTTTTACCCCAATTACATAGAAGCA